CTGCTGTGTAAATGGATATGCTGGATCAGATGACTTGTCCATCTAGTACAGCATCCCTGTCTCTTAACATATGGAATATTGCAACAGCAGGATAAATTTTAGGCTTTGGTAACAATGTCTAACAACAAGGATGTCAGGTGGTGTTCCCATGCTTATTAATGCACTTGTGAACGTTTTCTCTGTTGGACCTGTTCTGGACATGGCTTCTGGTCTCTGCTCAGGTAAAAGCCAGTACCAAGGGAGTAGGCTCTTGCAGACTGGAGTACGATGATACTGCTTTGCTGAGCAAAGCAACCTGAAAAGTAGCTGCCTGCACTAGGTCTGCTGGTCTAGATTTCAAAGTAAGCCTTTAGACACACACTGTAAATTTAACCCACCTCATCCAGCAGAAGGCAGGTGGGAAGAACTGACGTTCCAAAATAAAAACATTACGGGTTTTAATCCCTTTCTGGTTTGTAACATGAGTTTTTTAGGAGTGCCATGGGCTTTAAAAATCTCTCCAGGTGGATGATCCCAGGGTCCTCTTTAAAATGTCTCAGCAAACTCCCTGTCCATGCAGTGTTGCATGACTTATATCGTCCCTGCACTGGTTGGCAGAGGAAAGCGATCTTTCTGAGGCAGGATTTGAACAACCGGCTGCATACCAAGTGCACTGAGTCAGTGCCAGTAAATTCATAGGTCCTGAATCACCACTGAGCTCTTTAGAGACACTTCACTACAATACATGCGCCTCTTCAAACATGAAAGTTAAAGTTAATTCAAGATTTTGTTTCATTCGTTCCACCTGAGGCCATATCTTCGCTGCAGAAGAAATCCTACCTTTTGCCTGGGCCGGCTATCTCAGCGTAACGTCTCCTAAGAATAAGATGACTTCCCTGGAGAGGCTGCTAACTGAAGCAGTTATTCAGACCTATATTCCCTCTTCCTTCACCAGCTGCATCAAGATATAAATTACAAGTGCTTATGATTTTGGTTATGATACTTCCCTTATGGTTTTAGGTTAAAAATGCTGAAAAATTGTACAAGTGTTCCTTGTACTAAGGCACAGACTTTGTGTATTTAAATCTGTTCCCTCTGTGCTTTTCTGCTGATCTTACAGCTGTACCACATTTTTGTGCAAACTGATCTTTTATTTGCTTTCATAGGCAATCTCTCAACTGTAGAAAAGGACATTAAGTGAAAAAATGTTTCTATTCTACATGAGATTGAAGGGGTTACTAATTACGCTATTTCTTCAAGATTGTCAGAAGAAAAATAGGAACGTCTGTTAAAAACACTGAGAACTTTTAAGTTCTGAACATTTTTAAGCTTTTCCAGTTTGTAGATCCCTAAGATTTTTCCAGTGAGCCACTGCTAATTGAAGTCTATGGACAATAGACTTGTGATTTGCCTCACTACTTTAGATGCAATCTGCAGATCACCCTGAAAACTACTGCTGCAACCCGTTCCATCAATAAATAATTAAACTGGATTTATGAAAAGGAATGAAAGCCCTGATGATACAAATCGGATCAAAAAGAGATTTTTAAAATGCAGACAGAGGCACCTCTGCATCTCGAAGCGACTCACTATGTCTGGCCTGTGTCAGTGGGGCACTATGCCTTGACGACAAAGCCACTGATAAATCCAGTACGTTTCAGCTCTGTGTGCTTTGTTGGTGGATGTACGGGGTTTTTTTTCTTGCTGTTATATTTGCTGCGGGAGCATGATCTAACGCAAAAGCATGTGGAAATTAAGCTGAAGTGGGCAAATGTGTGCGTCATCGTCATGCCTAACAACTGAAGTTAGACTATTCCTAGTAAAACTTCTTCTTCCCTCTTCTCTCTCCTTCCCTGCCTAGGTTTTTGCAGAGCCCTCCATCAGTCTGTTTGCTCTGGAATGCTGCAAGGGCAGAGAGCTGCACTTCAGTGAACCCATCAATTCTGTTTTGAATGAGGACCTTCATTTTTACACTCAATCTGTATGGGTGAGAAGTGGATTGTAAGTATGGAAGAAATATTCTTGTCAGTTTTGCATTATAGGAGCTAATACTGAGCATGCATTTTCTCCCAATTACTGCCTTTTTTCATAGGATGTGTTTTACATTCTAACTTTTATTCTGAGACAACATAAAATCCTAAAATGCAGTTGAATGCTAGACCCACTTCTTGTATCAGGACCCAAAATGAACAAGAACTCTGGGCAGAGGGTGTATTTCCCCGTGTAAGAATCGTCCTTTTATCCCTATACAGTAACGAACAATAGAGCCTGTTGTTCAAGCCAGGAACCAAAAGTAAGTTAGTTTTGATTGCTGACTTACAAAGACAGGTAGAGTAAACTTGGACTGCCTTTATTAACTGGCTGTAAAATGCCTGCTATAAACTGCAGTGATTTAACTTAAACCGGTGTGGCAGTTCAGTGAAGCTTGATGTGCTGATCGGCTGCCAAAGGGGCAGCAACTTCTGAGAGAAGCTCAGGGTGGATCGGACAGCTGGAACAGCAGTTTGCTTCTGTTATTAGTTTAATCTCCCTCCATGAGTGTGAATACACACCCAGGGTCTTCTGTGAAAACCATTTTACATCGCAGAAGTGACCTTCGAACCTGTTCTGCATCTACCCCTTTCGCCTTTTGGAGAAACTCCCAAGTATTCTGTCTTGACCAGGTTTTCAGCCTCCACATCCACAGCAACAACAAATAACTTGCAGAGTCTCATCCTGCAACTGAGACTGACTGGAAGCTGCTGTTCTTCTAACGTGACACACGTTTCCTGTGTTTAGTTTTAGCCTTTTCCCCACCTTTTTCACATAGACAAGGCTGTAATTTTCTTGAGAGATCTTATGGGATGACACGAAACCACGCAACATTTGAACTAATTTGGCAAGGAATTAGTGTAGACTGGTCACGGCTTAGGTGTATCTCTATAGTGATTCTTACAATGAATTTTTCAAACACATCTGGTCTGTTACCACCTAGAAGTCAAAACCCTTCTACAGATATCTGTGCTAATGTTGCTGAGTGCTCCTCTGATTCTTTGAGGTTGGTACAAAGGCTAAGCCTAACCTAGCTAATGCTCCAGAGCACCGTGGACTGTTTTCTTTCAGGAATTTCACACAAGCGTTTTCTTGAAAGGTTGGTTAAGGATTGAACCTCCCTTTCTTTAAGAGCAGTCGGTGGCGATTGACTTTAGCTGTGGGCCCATAGTGAATATAAGCTTCCCCACAGACCTTTGCCAATTCTTTATAAATTCTAGTCCCTAACATCTGTGCCACTTCCATCCTGAGCCCTTGCTGAAAATGTACATAGAGAGCGCAATTGTCTGCTGCTGCTGTTGTCTTGAGGTGCCCCAGGTGAGAGTGGCAAGCAGCTGCCATTTGAGGCTGACAACAGCATACACACATTCCCCATGATCTGTGCTAGTTTGGAGGAAGAAAGGCCTTCTTTGGGAGGAACCCCAAAGGTTTTATTTCTGGTGGGAGTGTATAAATCTTCATACCTCTGTGGAGGTGTTACAGTCTAAATCGTGTCCTGTTGGGGAACGCCTCTTTATGAGCTTTCCCTGCCCTCTCATCGTGGCTGTGGAACTGGAAATTAAATCACTTTGCCCATGCAGTTGGCTGTAAAGGAAGGGTGATGGCTTTGGGACCACGTAGTAGAAAAGCACAGGAGAGTGAGCGCAACAGTCGAGCCCCTTCATCTTCCTGTTCGTTTCTGAGTATCCAAGCCAGGTTAGCTGGTTCCCCGTCTCTGGGACGGGTCAGGGCAGAATGGCTGGGCTTTCTCTGAGCTCCTTGTGGTGCTCCCTAGGAAACAGACTTCCACAGCCTGGCCCCATCCCACACTGCAGATAGGTAGTCTAAAGGCTGAGGGTGGCAGGTGATTGTGGGAAGTCTGTGGGATGTCCTAGAGGGTTTGTTTGCCTAATATGTGATCAAGAGTTCAGGAAGGTGGATTTAGGGTTTTTTTGGCTCCTTGCCCTGAAGCCTACTGTCAGCTTTAGACAAATGACAAAGATTTATGTAAGTATACTGGTGGCATCTTGCTGCCAGGCTTAGGTACGAGGATCCTTCCTGAGCCAATTGACCACCTTGGTCAGAAACGGCATGAGCCTGGACTGTGGCTTGGCAAAGGGGGCTGGGGTACTCCAGGGTGCGGGAAGGATGGCGCAGGGGAGGCTGCTGGTCTGCGTGAGAGCCAAGATGAGTTTTGTCTGTGTCGCTGAATGCCAGAGGCCCAACCTGGCTTCCGATGGTTATTCCTGTAACAGGCCTTCCCTTCTCTGTTTCCTATAAATGTCTGCTTTGGCAACAGAAACTGCATTTCCAATGAGACTGATGCTCTGAGAACAGCGTTAACAGTGAATTCTCAGTGATTTCACAGAAAGCATGGCAAGAAAAAAGTCGAGAGTGTGTTAGAATTACAAGGAACATGCAGTGGTGGTCAGGCTGCTCTGAATACCTGTTAGTCAGGAGGTGTGGGACTTCATTTGAAGAACCAGTGATAGAGCCTCATTGCCAGCTGTGAACTGCCTTGTACATTTTAGCCTCCATGGAGTCCTGAGCAAGGCTGGCTGTCAGTTTCTCCAAATTATGCGCAATGGGGAAAAGTAAATTACGGGTGCTGTGAGCACTGTTAGTGCGTGTTTTCTCACTGACTTAGAGTGCAGCCATCCCTCATGTTCTTGGCAGCTGACCTGTAAAACAGGTAACATGGGGAAACCAGCATTTGCTTTGTGTTCAGATGAGTTAGAGTCAAGCGTTTAGGATCCGCTGTCTGTGCAACAATGTCCTATTGATATAAACAAAACCGACCTGTGATCCTGAGGCTGCCTTTGTAAGCAGCAAGGCATTATCTACTGAGCAAATGTCTAGCTAACAAGGGACCTATATGTGCCGATGCTTTAACTCTGTGTTAACAAAGTATTCAGCCGTGTCCATCGCTCAGATATGTTCACTACAAGAAAGTCTATTACAGCAGTGTATAGGTTTTGGAGTAAATATTTCATACGTGTTTTCAGACAAGTGGAATAGCTACAGAAAGCTTTAATTGTTGCAAAAGAAGACATTGGACAAGATCCTCTCGTAACGAGTATGTACAACCAGGCAGAGCTGCAAGTACTACTGTCTGGTGTGTGGCTTCCTAGGTTCCTAACGCATGCCCGCTGAAACCTGCGCTATTCCCATCCAGGTTCATGCAGGAGTTCTCATATTTGTGGGAAAAATTTGGGGGGGGGGGAGTTTACAAGTTTCAGGCAGACAAACAGAAAACAGGTCTTAATTTAGACAGAAAAGAGTTAAACCACTGAAATGGATGGCATTTTGTGGCACGGTAATACAGGTTTGGTATTAGCACTACTGTGGAGAGGTTTCAGGGCTTCAAGAGCACAGGCTTGAACACAGGCCTGTAGTTCAGTTTTGCTATGGTTACTGTGTAGCCTTTCACGTTCTGTTTTCTGTATCCAGGTGGATTGCATACGAAGGATGTAATTTTTTAGGAAAGCAGATTCTGCTGGAGCCCAGTGAGATTTCAAACTGGAATGAACACAGTGGCTGGAAAGTAATTGGCTCCCTTCGTCCTATGAAGCAGGTACTGTAACAGTGTATGAGAACAATTTTTTTTTTTTTTCTTTTTTTTTAAGGCAGGGATTAGTGCACAAGTATCAGCTCTAGCACTAAGTATAATGGTGTGCATTGTACTCCTTAAATCAGGCCAAATGATGACAGCCAGAAGGACCTACTGGAAGATTACTGAAGCAGAAAATTCCTGCGGTGGCAGTTATTGAGATCTATATTAGGCTCCTAAAGGGAAATAATTCCTAGTTTCTTGGAGCCAAGTTTTGTTTTTCTGAATGGCTCATTAGCATGTTCTGCAGATGCCCTATTTTTAAATTTTTGCCATATAACAATAATGATGAGAAAACCAATTCTGCATTGGCTTGTTTCATAATAACATAAATGGAAGCAAAAACATATTTTATTGTGCTATAGCCTGGATTTCCAAAAGAAGCAAAGTTTATGTAGTCCTACCAGGTTTTCCCTCTTTGCCTCACCCCAAGTAATGCCAGTTTCAATCTCATTCAAAGATTCAGGTCTCAAAACCATAAAGTACTTAGGAGCTTTGTGAAAGGTAGGTAGAGAAGCACGACTGAGATAAATGCCCCTCATTCCAGGAAAAGCAGGTGCAATTCTGCTTCTCTGCCTTTCCAAAACGCAGCAGGTAATCGGTGACACACATAAGCTCCGAACCAGTCAAAGCACATGTTGCTGCGTGCCCAGCCACGCTGCTGTGGGAGGGCAGCGGCCGGGAGAGAGGAAGAGGACGGGGGAGAGTGGCAGGGAATGTGAGCAGTAACTCCACTGGAACAGAGTTTTCATTAGCTCTGATTCTCACAGAAGAACTTGTTTCTGCTTAGTGACAAATGCTGCTTTGTTTTTAAACACTAGATTCAACTGGGGAACTGGGGAAATGTTGCAGTGAACAAAAATAATCATCTTTACCATTAGTTATGCATTGTCTACACACCACACACCCCCCCAAAGTAAAGGATCCCCCCAGAAGTTGACAGCTCCCTGGAATTCTTTGGAAGTGGTAACTACCGAAGGACCCCATTTTGGCTCTGTTTTGGCAAATGATAATGAAAATAATTTGTGCTGATCTTGAAAACTGAATTCTCTCTTCAGCCAGCAATCTGAAGAGCTTTTGTATTTGGTAGCATCCTTTTTTACACTGCAACAGTGAGTAGTGTTATAAGGCCTACTTCAGCTACTTTGCTGGGACTTTTGGCATTGGGGGTTTGTGTGATTTTGTTTGTTTGTTTTGTTTTAAATCCTGCAAACTGAGGGCTTCCTTGAGTTTGGGCAGTCAGCTACCTGTGCTTGACACTTCTGTGGGCATGGTTGTATTTTTTGAGACTGGAGTAATAATTCAAACCTGCATCACCTTATATTTCTTCCTTCTGGCTCCATTACAAATTACAAAAACAGTCAAGTCTGCCAGTGTAAGAGGTAGCGTAAGAAAAAGCGAAACATTTGAAACTCATGCTAAGTGAGACACAAAAATTTTGCTTAGTGACTTCATAATACGATCCCTTCTTTGTAAAGAATAACTATACGCTATGCTAATACACATTAGTTTACAGATGCTTGGTGGGAGAGAGGCGTTATTGTCCGTACCTGAGGGTTTGTTTTAGTATGAAAAAAGGAGATTCAAAGCTCCCGGAAGAAAAACTATGCTTGAGTTGGTGTTCCATCAGAGCTGCCATTTATAACTCGCTGCTCTTTATTTGCACTGAAATCAGTGAAAGACAGAGCAAAAGCTTGAACCCTGTAGTAGCCCTACAAAATCTCCCTATTTTTTGAGTAAACTGAGTAAACAGGGGTGCCGAGCCATACCCTGTTTTCCGTGTATGTTCGAAAGCAATGCTGTAACTTCTCTGCCCTGTATTCTAGTTAATGGGGGTTGAAGTTGCTGATACATGACTTGGTAAGTTTTGTGTCCTGAGAGTAAAAAGCTTGTGGAGTACAGCCCGTTTACTGGCCTCGGAGTTAGTGAAATGTTCTGAACTAGAAGTATTTGCATATTGCAGGAATTAGTTCTATAGACATAAATACATTTAAAAAAAACCAAAACTATCTGCCATTGCTGCTTACAGCTGTCTATCTGCATGTGAAAAACACTTACTGCTGCTTTTACATGCACGTTTCCAACAAAAAATTATTGAACATCCTTGTCTGGAACTAGAACATATACTTCAGAAAACTGATATAAGATGGCGGGGAGGCATTCTCACATCACCTTTCTTAATCTCTGTGTTGTAACCATCTTCCTTCACACTATTTCAGCCAGCAGTGTACCTCAGAGTGAAGAACCGAGCCATGGGTAAATATTTGACAGTTGCTGGAAGCCTAGCAGATATAAGAGCCACATCAGTGTGCGCATCCCCGTACAATGGCAAGAATACCCAGATCTGGCACTACTGTCGTGGGCTCTTCAAATCCAAGGTGAGTTTCCAGGTGCTGGAAGCGGGTGGGTTGTATCACCTGCTGTCCTCGCACCTTCACTTCTTGCTTTGACTGGCAGCTAGCGTTAATACCAGGATAGCTTTTGGCCTCCCCCATGCGCCTTAAACCAACACGCTTATAACCTACATCCTCCTACTATGTATAGCCAGATTTGATCTGCCTGCTTTGGCAAGTTGGACTACTTGTCCCATCTGTCTAATGGGACTGATGCTCCTGGAAGCAGAAACCTGGTTTTGTCTAAAGTCGCAAGTTTAAGTTTATTACCTCTAAAGAGTTAAGAATTTCTCTGAAAAGTAATATGCGGAGAAAGTAAGTGATTTTGTGTTAATATTGCCCTTGATAGTCTCTTATTAATATAAAAAGCTGACAATTTAACACAAACACCTGAAATAACAAAGACCACCACCTCTGATCAAGCAACTGGTCAATTGCTGAATAATCTGTTCCTAGCTTGCTTGCCAGGCTTGTTACCAGCTATAGCATGGTCACTGCAATATGCTTGGTGCCCGAAACAGAAACGAGTCAGACACAAAACTGAGGCTTTGTGGCCTGGATCTCACTTCTCTTCTTGTTCCTTAGGCTAACAACGCCTGCCTGGATGTCATCGGTGGCAGAGACGTGCCTGGGGCCAAAGTCGCGCTCTGGGCAGAACATGGGAAGGACAGGCAAAAGTGGAGACTCAATGAGGATGGAACCATCAGTTCATACCTCAGCGACCAACTGGTGCTTGATATTAAAGGTATTTTTTTTTTTTTTTTTAAAAAAAAACACAACTAAACCCCACATATTCTAACTGCATTTTTTTGATTGAGGTTAATTGCCGTATTCCAACTCTTTTTGTGCTTAAGATTAAATACTGAATCTTATCTTTCCTGTTAGGTTTATGTCCAGTTGCTTGATAGTGTGACAAGAAACAACAGGGCAGGGGGGAACCGTACTCATTTGATCCCAGAGGTGTATTTTGATCAGATCAACTGTTCTATTCGAGGGAGTTCAGTAGTGCTGACAGCAAGAAATGCAAGCTACGTAAGGCAAAATGGTGAAGGAAAAGCAACGACGGAATAGGTGTGGCTCAAAAAGAAAAAAGTGCTGACTCCTAATATTTTCAGGCTGGTTAAAATTGTCATTGCTCAAGTCCTAGTTCTTCTAATTATCCATCATGGTAGAACTACCTCACTGGAGAATGGCTGTTCCTCACACTGAATTTGTTCAAGCCTTGCTGCTGGCGCTAGGGTTTTATCCCTACGGAAAGGCCTTGAGGCAGTGACTGGTTATGAGGTTGGGGGTTCTGTGATGCTGTCTCCTCAGATGACAGGTCTAAGTAAATTAATTGATAGCCTAACACCCCTGCAGGGCTCACAGGCCAGGGTAAGGGCACAGGTGACAGTCATCGATGTTTTCAGTGAATGTCCTACTGGCCATTGTGCATCTGACCTCTGCAGCTCAAACTTCCTGATAAGGAATTCTCAGCCCCCTGATGCTGAACTAATAGAGCATTCCTGGCTTCCAGAACCAAGGAGTTTACCCACCATTACTAATCCATGAATAGTTACTACAAAGCCATTAAATGCAACTGGTCATACTAATGGCAACTCTTACAGTATCGGAAAGCTGTGCTGCCTAGCTTACTGCAAAATAGAATGCTGAAGGCTGGGGTGGCGAGATACCACTTGACAGCTCTTCAGAACATTTATTTCTTTTAGTGGCTTTTTATTTGTGGTCTAATGATAAAAAAATGCACTGTCATTTCTATGCTACATGTACTCAAAGGAGAGAAACTCTATTTGAAGGACTTCGTAAGTTTGTTGTTGAAATGGATATGCTACACTAAATAATCTCCCAGGTATCTGTGAACCTGTGTACTTCTACTATAGCGATACACGCCTTCAAAATGCAGACACGTAGCAGGAGCTCAGGATCTGCCAAAAGCAAAATCTCCTTAGAGGTACTGTTTCTGTGCACAACGGTACATCTGCAGACTCCCAGTTGTGGTGTATTCTGCTTCCTAACTAACGGAGCTCCTCAGGGCCTAAGCTGACCAGCGACTGTTTGAAGGAGACAGACACACAGAGGCAGAGGGGCAGATGTGGAATCCTCATGGAATTTCCATTTTTCAGCTAGTTTTCCTACTTGGTCACACTTTTTAAAGCTTATGCATAGACTTTTCTGAGCATTTCTTTTTAAAATTTTTCTTCTGTGATTTTGTTTTGTTTTTAAGGAGGAAATTATTACGACAAGAATCACATCATTATGAATCAGCCAATAGACGACAAACACTCACAAAAATGGGATATTGAAATATTGTGAGTAAAACCCACCACACAGATGGACCTCGTGTGGGTTATTAACACCTAGAGGGGGGAAAAAAAACCACTACTGAAGTCACACACCACTGGAACCTTGAGCAGCAACTCCTCTCTACGTTCCTTCATACCAAGCACCAATTCCTAAAACAATGGAATTTTGCACAAGTCGGGAAGATGGGAGGTTGATCTAATGTCTTTCTGCAGGGAACCTGATTCTTTAGAGGCCGCTCCTATGAAAGTCACTATTACTGCTCAGGTGAAGTATTGAAAGCAAATGCAAAAGACTAGACGTAAGTTTTGCAGGATATGAACTGCAAGAGATGATCTGGGAAAGGCTCTTTAGAAATGTTGTCTTTACCATCTTCTCACAAACTGATGGAAGCTCACTGAAGAGTGGATGCACTAATGACCTTGGAAGAGGCCGAGTTGGACTTCTATGCCCCGAGTGAGACTGTGTAGGCTCCAAGCAACCCTGAAGCTCAAATCATACATCTTGCTCAAATGCAATTTATTTTGTTCATAAAGACAACTTTGAAGTGGAATTACCAGCTCAGCATGTGAAATGGGGCGGTAGAGAAAGCCTGACTTTCACCCCCCAACGTTACTGGTAGGCCTCTGTCTTCATTTTTTTTAACAATACCAAGTTTCCAGATTGAGGAACTGGTTTTGCTGACCCACACCCTGTTTCCAGCCCATGAAATGGTGAGTTATCACTGAAGGTCACCTTTAACACGGAGCCATACGTGCATGCATCAAAAGAGAATATGTGGTCCTGGGTCAGGCTAACACTTCTGCAAGGGCTAGCTGCATTTAGAGCAGTAATGATTTTAACTCTAGCTGTGTTTTGGTTTGATGTATATAGATTAATTTAATACCATGTAGTTTAGTCTTGAAACCCTGTCTTCCTTCAGAAAATAATTCACCCTAGTATGTATTTTCAAAGGTGCAAGCAGCCTGCATTTCAACGGTTGCTTAACATTAAACGAACAGCGTTAACTGCATGTTAATGTTCCTGTGGCTCATCAACACCACGTACATCTTATCCCAAAGGATGAGGACTTTAACGGTCCAGACCTTGGCATGCCGGTGCTTTCCTCAATTTCAGCACTACACAACCAGCCTACTAGCGATCCCTCGAGACAGACAGACAGAGCCCAATACCTGTTGTTGCAGGCTTGGAAAGCACGTTCCTCGCTCAGCACTGACCAATACAGAAGGAACTCCAGACATTTGTAGGGCTGTGAACACCCGACGTGGAAGAGAAGTCCCTTAGATCACTGGTAACTCCATTTGATTCCAGCATCGCTAAATTAATCTACTTCATTGAAAATGTAATATTTTTCCCCCTTATTTGTATATGCAGGGTATATGTATTTCTATAACTATTTAAAGGTTAGCTAAAGATAGATATTTTAGTTGACAAAAGCTGTAACTATTCCAGTTGTGCATTCAAACAGGATTCATCCCCAAACAAATAAAACCACATAACCCCCAAGTTTGCCACAGAAATAAAATATATGGATGTCTATTTTTATATGAAATGGAGTTCTGTATAGTACTATTTAAAAAAAAACAAACCCTGTCTACTTGCACTTACTATTTTACATTCTAAAATTATCAGAAATCTGCTGTTTAAATAACAGATCTTCAAATGTAGGTATATTTTTCCAACTAAAGCACTTGTTTAGCTTTTTTTATATACATCCGTGTATCGAGTGTTCTACGTGTGACTTGCTTTCCATACGAAATTTTAAAAGCCTGTGTAAAAAGTTCTAATCTTTTAAACCAAGAACGACTAAATCGTATTTGGTGTTCCATAACGAAGTAACGCAGGCTTTTGTACTTAAGAGATCTTGAATGTAAAATGCTAAGCATGTATATTTTAATTGTATCAAACTTTTTTTTAGGAGAAACATTTTGCTTGTTAGTTTCTTTTTAAACAAACTAAATACAATGGTTTTTAACAGATATCAAGCACATTCTTGCAAAATACTTCCTTTCAAATGGACAAAAAAGGGATAAGTATATTGGATGTGTGACTGTGCGGTTACATTAGTTTGCATATTAAACATCCATGTTCAAGTATTAAAATAACTGCACTACACCCATCAAAACCCACTCAAGTGAGCACTGAAGATACAGATTCCAGTTACAGGTTTGGATTACTTTCACACTAAAATTGGTGCAGGAGGAGGTCGAGGTTAAATACTACTGGTTATTGCAGAGGTGGTAGTGTCTGAGAGGAAAAGGGTCGTCTTGGGCAAAGTCTTACCCCTTTGGGAAACAACCCCCACAGCTTTTACTGAGAAACTTTTGTTCTCTTGAGGACAAACAAAGAGAACAACTGGGGTTTCTTGTTGCTGGTGAACCTTACAAATGAAAAAACAAGTTAACTGGTTTTTGCCCAAGGTCCTGGAGTCTGTTCCATATATACCTTTACATGTCCATATCCAGAGGAAAGGGGATACCACAGCACCGGTGTTACTGCGAGAGACTTCATCCATCCACAGCCACGGAGCTGTGGCTAACTGGAGGAGGAGCAGCTTACCTGCTTTTCCCAATGCCTCTTTACCCAAAGCTAAGGAAAGAAAAGTAACATTTGGCACCAGAAAATAGCAAAGTGCGTGTAATGCGCTGCTTTGTTAGACAGCAGTACAAACCAAAGGCTGGATGGATAAAAAAGTAATTTAATAAGCCTTTCTCTCGCGAGATTCTTCATGGCCAGAAATACTACTGACAGGAGCTCATTCACAAAAGCATCAAATAACTTCAATGAGACATTCAGTCCATAGCGACAAGGCAAGGTTTTCTTTCTCTTCATCTGAGATAAGGTTAAGCTCTTTAACGTGAACTGTGCTGCTACTCCAAATCTGCTTCAGTGCATCCAAGTATGACAAAGGAAACCGCAGTCCGTGAGTCTGCTGGGGGAAAAAAATGAAATGAAAAAAAAAAAAAAAAAGTTCAGCGTCCCTTATAACACAAGAGGGTGTTAGGCTGTAGGTACTGAGCAGCAGGTGTGTGCTCCTGTCCCATATCACACTGGTGTTTCTGAGAGCAGCCTCCAAAAGATGCAGTATTACCCTGCCACCTTTCTTAGTAGACAAATAGCTGAAATCTCTTACATGTTCTAGCACACCTTATGAGGTAGGGAGGCTTACGGCGCATGGCTTCCTCGTGTGGTTTCCGCACTGAAAAATGAAGTAACTTTAAATTTACGCTCTTGCCTAACCCTAGACTGCACATGCAGTCTTTGGACGTAGTTTGACAGAACCGCAGAGGACCTCCGTTACCATGGCTGGAGTCTTGAGGGGCAGGAAGGTCTGTTCTGGGATTGGCACATGTTGGCCAGCATACAGCCTCAGCTCCCCCCCATCCTCTACTCTTAGAGGACCAATGAGATTTACCTTAAAAGGTAAGTAACTGCCAGGCAGAAAGCCGTGCCGTATTTACTGACACAAGAACGGGCTGTGTTCTGCTTTGCCTCTACAGTGTGTTTGTGCAGACCTGTATTCAAGTGTTTCAGGTCACAGACCTAAGCTAGAGCATCTTCCTATCATAAAGTGGAACAAAAAGTTCCAAAGCTCGCAGCCACGCTTCAGGAGTATTTATGATTCGAGTAAAAGCACATTGCATGTGCGGAGTAAGAACGGAGATGAACCATCTGCAGCCTGTTAACAATATAAGAAGTTCCCTCCTTACATTTCAGTAAAAGCGTTTACTCCCAGTGCTGACACACCCCACCCTAAAATAAACACTCTTCTCTTGCGGGATGTTCCAGTGGATACGGAACCTAACGGGTTCAACGTGGCATAAACACAGCGCATGAGGCACAGCGATCCCTGCTGCGAATCAACGTGTGCCACCATATCCAGTAGCCTTAACAAAGGATGCGCTAAAGGACACAGAAGTAAGAGACAGTTCTAGCCACTCCAGTAGCTTTGCTAGCTGGGACATGAGGCATGCGCAAGAAATCCTAACATCTCAACCATTTAATTATGAGATTATATTACTTAGTTCTACTGTGAACTGCCTCTGTGTTGCAGCCTCCGCTCATCCGGGTACTTAGGGGAGGGGCAGAACTGCTCTGGGTGCTGAGGAATACACAGAACCCGGGCCCCTGCTGCCGTCTCAGTCAAGCTCTTCTAACGCAGCAAAACCCACCGTGGCAATGGCGCTTTTGTTGTGCGTTTGTGGGAACAAACCTGCGACGTGCCATCCTCGCTAGCAGTATCATCCTCTGTCCCCATCATGTGAGTTTCTCTCCTGTTCTTTAAAGAATGATACACGTAAACCATCTCTCTGCGAATTTCGTCCTAAAAGACAGCGGGAAGAAAACAGTTACATACACGCCCTCAAAGTCCTCTCACTCAAGTGACAATGTTAGCGCCTTAATTCTGGAGTCCACTGTTACAGCAGTGAAAGCTATTTACCTTCCTAACTGAATGATCCAACAGCCATCTACTACAGCAATAAGGGTGTCTCCAAAACATCTTTTAAAATTTATTTACAACCTGTAATCTGCCTCAATACTGCCTCTACTAGACTCACAGGACTGATGCTGTACAGAAAAGATGCCAGTTAAGGTGCACCTCCTAGAAGGCCTTACTGAAGGAGTGTGCATCAATGAATTTCTGTTCTGATGCTGCTCTGTCTCTTAAAAAAAAAAAATCACATGCCTGTTGTTAGCATTCCGTGGTCAAAGCTGTGCAAACCAATTCAGAGCTCTGTGGGCAGGGCTCACAATTTGTGGCTACATTTCTTGCATGTGTGTTGTCATTCAGGGTTTATCTGTATGACATCAGAAGGCAAGGTGGCAAAAAAAAAAAGTGTTTCCAAATCCTACACAGTCTCACAGCAATATGGACTAAATGGAGGAGAAAAATCAGGAAGTTATGGTATGTTTTTCTTGGAGGGAAACATTTTACACGTGCAAAAAACATTGTACAAGATCTAGTCTGCCCCCCCCCTTTTTAATTAATACAACAAAAAGCACTCCTACAATTCCATACTGATAAACCTTCATAGCTAAGAAGTACTCTGAACACAACATCATCCAAGATGCCAGCATCTATTTTGTGGGACAACTCAGTAGTGCCACTGGCACCTGCCTAGGTAAAAAGGTAACTGGGAAGTGAAGACTAAATGCAGCCACAGTCAGCAGCAGCTGCAACCAAGAGAATTCCCTCTCTTGAGGGAACCTATTTTTATAACTTAGTCATGCTCTTAAATACAAAGAAGAATTAAAAAAAAAAAGAAATCCATTCTCAAGAGCTATAGAGGCCATTTAGCAGCTGTAATGAGCTCTCCCATCTAACCTCAGATAAAAGCCGTGCACCTACCATACCGAAGCACAGACTAAATTTAGTTCTGTAGCTCTCCTCCAGAAGGCAAGAACGTGCCGTGTTACTGCTCGACAGCAACCCCATGATCTCCTAACAAACCCTAATGGGATGCAGGCTCCAACTAAGTGTAACTGCGTGACCCTTATAGACCGGTACAACAGAGCAATGACTCGCATACCTTGCGCTCCCACCCCAAGCATACGAGGGTGGCTTCATTATACTTACAGAATTCTCTTGATCTGGTTCCACTGTAATGATAGCATGATCTCTAAATTGCAGTCTGATTTTGCTATCTATTTTTGGCAATTTCCCACCTAAGAAAAAATAAATTCTCCATTAGAAAGGAAGGAAGCCAGACGAACAGTGCAAATCGAGCCCTCTGCGCACGACCCGCTCTTGTGGCTAGACTTTTTGTTAACCTATGTTTCAACACCTACATATTCTCAAACGCGGG